CCTTGCCTCTTTATTGGCTTTTGAGTGGCAAGCAGCTGGACCCCCATTTTCAGTAACAATTATACAACTGTATACATTTGTTAAAATGCATCGAACTGTGTACTTAAACTGGTGAATGCTTTACTTAAAACATTTGTCAAAACTCATGAAGTTGTATACTTAAAACTGGTAAATTTGAAGTATGTAAATTATACCTCAAAAGAGCCTATTTAAGAAAAGATGCTTCAGGGAGTTCCCTGGTGGTCTAGTGGTTAGGATTTGGCACTTTCACTGCCATGGCCCAGGTTCAGTCCCTGGTTGGGGAACTGAGATGCCACAAGCCAAGTGGCACAGTCAAAAAAAAAAAAGATGCTTCTAAAAGAATAAGAGAAAAACTGTGAGTAGAAGACAATGTTAATAATTATCATTACCACATTATTACTGTACATATACTGTATGCCAGGTGCTTAACTTAAATGATTATATTTTATCTCAAAACCACCAAGTGAATTAGGCATTATTATTTCTACTTTCTTTAATAGATAATAAGATTGAATAACTAGCTAGTAAGTAGCAGAGACAAGATGATTTGAGTCAGTCTGACCTCTTTAACAAAAACCTGTACTCTCAGTAAAGTGTTCTACTTTATTGGAGTTCAAAAAGCACAAAATTGAGTATAATATGAGGTTGGGCTATTCACATAGGTAGAGTTTAACAGTGTTCATCTATGGGGAATAGGGCATTAGTAGGTATAAAAAAGATTTTTATTTTATACTTTAAATACTTCTGAATTGTTTAAAAATATTTCTTAAACAAGCATTTTATACCTTTCAGTAACATATTTTAAAAGACGTTATAGGGGGCTTCCCTGGTGGCGCAGTGGTTAAGAATCCGCCTGTCAATGCAGGGGACACGGGTTCTGTCACTGGTCTGGGAAGATCCCACATGCCGCGGAGCAACTAAGCCTGTGCGCCACAACTACTGAGCCTGCGCTCTGGAGCCCGCAAGCCACAACTACTGAGCCCGTGTGCCACAACTACTGAAGCCCATGCACCTAGAGCCCATGCTCCACAACAAGAGAAGCCACCACAATAAGACCGTGCACCGGAACGAAGAGTAGCCCCCGCTCGCCGCAACTAGAGAAGGCCCGCACACAGCAACAAAGACCCAATGCAACCAAAAATAAATTTTTAAAAATGTTTAAAAAGATGTTATATATCTCTAATTATTAAATTCATAATGGGTCCCATTCTTCTGTTATAAATCTAAAATTGTGAAATATTTAGTAAAACATCCTTCTATATACTGCCTGATGTTTAAGAGGTGCTAACATCTAGAAACCAACATTTGAAAATGGCTTACATTAATCCAAAATATATATGTAGATACCAAATAAATACTTGTTGAGTATCAGTAATCACACATTAGCTTATTTAAAATTTTGAAAGATGATGCATCACAAGGATAATGTCTACAGGTTAAAATTTTCTTTATATACATAAGCTAGCATCTGGAGTTCTCCTGTTGAACTCTTTATTAGGAGAGACATTTGGATAATCAATTGTGTCTAATTAAAGTCTGCTTATAACTGAAAGTGCCTAGAAATCCTGATGGGACAAGACATACCATAGAGATTAAATTAATTAGCAGTCAAAGCTAATTAGCAGTAATAAGATTAAATAAGTAATAAGATTAAACATAGGTGGGGTACTAGACAAAAATGTCTGGAGATAACATGTTTGGTTTTAAGACTCCCCAATGGTCTTCTTGCCTTCAGTCTTGCCCGCTTCATGTTACACATCTACAGAGGATTTTCATAACTTCAGCGATTTGGTTATGAACAAAAGATGGCAAAAAAACCGCAGCAACATGAAATATGCAGGAAAGAAATAGGTACTGAAAGCCATTATAGAAAAATTTCAAGGTGGGGCTTGAACTAAAGTATCTACCTAATGGGACAGAAATAAAAGATAAACATGAACAATGTTATGAATCATGGAAAGAAATCTTAGAATACAGAAGTGATTTAGATAACGGGGCTATATAATGGCTTGCTAATTTGTTTTCCCATAACCTAACTTACAATTACAAAGAGGGAATGCATAAACAAAGTGGATACAAAATAAGAAAGAAAAATCAAGGAAGGGGACATAAAACAGATGCAGAAATTGAAAGACATTATGGTGGTCAAGAGATGAATGGATAAAGATGTGATAAATACATACAATGGAATATTACTCAGCCATAAAAAAGAATGAAATTCTGCCATTTGCAGTGACGTAGATGGACCTAGGTAGTATTATATATTTTTTTAAAAATTTAGTTTTATTTATCTATTTATTTTTGGCCACACAGTGTGGCTTGCGGGATCCTAGTTCCTGACCAGGGATTGAACTTATGCCCTCAGCAGTCAAAGCGTGAAGTCCTAACCACTGGACCACCAGGGGATTCCCAGTATTAGTGAAACAAGTCAAAGAAAGACAAATACTCTATGTTATCACTTACATGTGAAATCTAAAAAGTAAAACAAACAAATGTATATAACAAAACAGAAACAGAAGACTAACATATACAGCAAACAAACTAGTGGTTTCCAGTGGGGAGAGAAAAGGGGACAGGGCAAGATACAGGTATGGGATTAAGAAACACAAACTGCTATGTATAAAATAAATAAACAAAAAGGATATATTGCACAACACAGCAAAATACAGCCATTATTTTCTATTACCTTTAAATGGAGTATAATCTATAAAAATATTCAATCACTATGTTGTACACTAATAATGTAACATTGTAGGTTGACTGTACTTCAACAAATAAATAAAAACAAATATTGTTTTACCTTAAAAAAAAAAAAAGGCACTACAGGGGACTTCCCTGGTGGCACAGTGGTTAAGAATCTGCCTGCCAATGCAGGGGACATGGGTTCAAGCCCTGGTCTGGGAAGATCCCACATGCCGCGGAGCAACTAAGCCCGTGGGCCACAACTACTGAGCCTGTGCTCTACAGCCCATGTGCCACAACTACTGAGCCTGTGCTCTACAGCCCATGTGCCACAACTACTGAGCCTGTGCGCCTAGAGCCCGTGCTCCGCCACAAGAGAAACCACAATGAGAAGCCCACTCCCGCTTGCCACAACTAGAGAAAGCCTGCATGCAGCAACGAAGACCCAACACAGACAAAAATAAATACATAAAATAAATAAATTTATTTAAAAAAAAAAGGCACTACAGCGGTCAAAAAAAAATCACAGATTTTTTCCTTGGGAAATTGATACAGAAATATCACTTTTATTACAGAAAGATTATTAAGGGAGGGGCTTTTTTAAGACAGGAAAAGAAGAGCTGTGTTTTGTTATAATGAATTTAAAACTTTGGACAGTTATCTAGTTAGTAATATTCTAAGAACAATGACATTGGGAATAAGGCTGAGGAAATTTAAAAATGTATAATGGAGCAGGTTGCATGTCAACTATATAATGAATGTAATTGAAGCTCTCAGAACAAATTTTAGCAAGACATGGAGTATAAGGCAGAGCCCTGAGGAATCTCTACTGTAACTACAGATAAGGGAGAAAGTACCTTCTAAAGAGAAACTAAAAAAGTAAACCAAGCTCCAGGTCCATACATGCACCTGCTTTCAGAACTGCTCCCCATCAGATGATCCAGAGTCTTCAGACTCAACATAACCAACATTAGGTTCATCTTCCTCCCTGTTTCCCCACTTGTATGAGTGGCACCACCATCCACCTGAACACCTCTGTCAGAAACTTGAGAGGTCTCCTACCTCTCTTTAACTTTCCCCCTTTCTGTTCCTGTTGCTGGTCCTTTCATGTAGATCTTCAACAAATTTCACCTGGACTACTGTAACAGTTTCATAGCAAGTCCCGCTGACTCCAATCTTTCCATGTATCACCTTATCCCAAATACAGAACCTACTTAAGGATTTCCTAATGCATAAACTTTGGGGATATCAGTTTGATTCTTAGAATTTGGCAATGAAAATAAAACCTAAACTCCTCAGCATGACACAAAATCCTTCATAAGACCCTTCTTACATTCCCTCCTCATATTCTGGGTCCCATCCAAGCTGAACTACTTGCAGTTTCCCCAGCTTACTCTATGACATACTGTTCTCAGCCTGTGAAGCCTTTTCCCCATTCTGCATGGCTAACTCCTAACCATCCTTCAAATGTCAAACTCTTGATTTGTTTATTTACTCTACTATCTTCCTTCCTTGACTATAAACAACTTACAAACAACGACTGTGTTTCTGATCACCCATCACTTCAAGCAGCTCAATGATTGCATATTCATTAATTCCATAAGCATGTCCTGCCATAAATGTGCCAGCCCAGTGCTAGTTACTGGGTGAGTAAAAGCAAAGTGAATAAAACAAGTGAATAAAAACAAAGTTTGCTCAAACAATTTTAAAAAGCTACTTCTTAGTTTTAGTTTCTTAGTTTAGTAGGGAATAAGATAGATATGAAAGAAATAAGAATCAAAAGAAGTAAACAAATTTAAGCCAGAATTAGATACGAGGTAAGAATCAATGTAATAAAATGTGAGTTCTGGGAAACTGAGGGGCAACTGTAGCTCCTAAAGGAACTGAGAAATATATATTCTTCCCAATCATTTGTTGTACCCCAATTTTTTCTGCAATAACTCAAAACCTGTTAAATAAATGGATAGAGGGCTGAGGACAAGATCAAGTATTCATCAAGAAGATGAATAAAAATAATACATAAAATGACTACATCACGGAATGGAAAAATTTTCAAGAATTCTTGCAAAATTCCCTGAAAGCTTTGGTTAAACTCCCCCACTAAAATAAAGGAAAACAAGTACTATTTCATTTTAGCTATATATATGTAGATTTAAAAATACAATTTAATAGGTGATCATACTGGGTGTTAATTCCTTCATGCAAAGTACAACCTAAGAAGTTTATTAATAGAAGGAAAGTTATGCATTTCTTTAGTGTTCAGTGAGAGTTGAAGAACACAAGAAAATAGAACTTACTGTCCACGAGGATACCAACGGTGCTTAGTAGTAAAGAACATTTTGCTAAGTTGTTCTATCATGGGTCCTTGCTCTAAGTATTCACCTTTTTCTTCTAACCTGGTTTTCAGCACTAGATCATGTGTTTCTTCATTATTCTGCACAGGATCTGGCCGAGGGATAGGCTGCAAAATAATCAGCAATGAACAACATCAAAATGTAGGAATGTTAGCCAGCATCTGATTGAGTTTACAGTAAAATAATTACCACACTGAGTACTTCATTATCGTACCTAAAGGTGGGTAAATAAGTCATGAGAACAGTTTCACTTAGCTGCACTATTCATTAAAGAATCAGAAATTTTTTTTTGGCCACACCATGCAGGATCTTAGTTCCCTGACCAGGGATTGAACCCGTGCTCCCTGCAGTGGAAGTACAGAGCCTAACCACTGGATTGTCAGGGAATTCCCCAGAAATATTTTTCTTCTCATATCAAGTTTTGGGTTCCCTTTCCAATAATAAAGTTCTTATTTAAAGTTATTTTCCCCCAATAATACAGAACTTATTACTTTAGTTTCTATTTCTCAAAACTATAAATTGTGCCCATTATTATTTTTTAACTTAAAAGTTTAGTCTCTACCTTGCATACCATTAAAGTGAGATACAATGAAAAACCTTTAATAGAAAATGACATTTCTTATATCCAAAAGAAGCAGGAAATTTTTCAATGTTTTCATTTTACGTGCCTGAAATGCCATCAAATGATGCTTTATGGTAATTCGAGTAGCTTCTTCCCCCAAAGACATTAATTACTAAAAAAAATCTCATCTCCTCCCAACACATGAGTGATATAACATATGCCCATCAGCAACGCTGGCTGACTAAAGCCCTTAAAAATTAGTGTCTTGGAAAGTCAAGCTACCTATATTTTAAATATTAAGTGATAACATATGTAACACAAGATTGTAACATTGCCTTGCTTTACAAATACCATAGATATGTATTACAACACAATGAAAACCTGAATTTACCATCAAAAAGGAAACAATTCAAACACAGATGTCTTCTTTACATTCACACACTATTAATGACAACTGCTACATTCTACCACTGTACTGAATGTTACAGCATAGACTCATATTTATTTAGTTTATGTACATGAAAAAATAAAACCTCTTTAAAAGGCAATATATAAGTACATGATGGTGGCACAACTGACTAAGTACTACAGAGATGCAAATTAACAAAGATATTAGTGAGAAATAGAACAGGAGCCAAGTCAGAACCTTGTCATGGAGTGCAGAATGAATTCTAGAAGGAATAACAAACATTATAAATAAAGCAAAGTAGGTAAAAACATACAATAAGCAGGTGATCTTAAAAAATGGATCTTGAGAAATCAGATTATGAAAAGCTTTCAAAGTCAGATTTAAGTGTAACAATTTGCTTTAAGTAGAAATAAGGAAACACTTCCTTAGTGTGGGAGGGAATAAGGAGAAAGTATAATGAAGAGGTTAAGAATTGGGCTTTGGTCAATAACTACTATCTCTGTGACCTTGGAATAGTTATTTAAGCTCTTAATCTCCCTTTCCTAAAATCTAAGGAGTAATTATCTACCTAATAAGGGTTTGATGAGGATTAAGTGAAATAATAACATGATGAGCTGTCCCTCGTACTCTTTGAGTTCAATAATGGTAGGTAACTGTTAACATTTATTTTAAGACCTCAAACAGGAAAACACTGATATAAATTTATTTAAAGAAAAAGTGCTCCTTAGACATTTTAAGTAATATTATATGATCATCTCTTACATGTAGAGTGAAATATTAAGATTTGTGTCTTTGCAAGTTACCATCAAACCCTGAGGTATACTAGCAAATGCTAGATTAGAGCCTATAGTTTTCTCTCTTTTAGGTTACTATACTTGTTGCTAAAGATTAAATGTTTTAACTATTATCAAACAGCTATTTTCAAGTGTTAATAAAAGTTCATTGTCTCTCTTCCTATTCCCAACAGGCTCAATTCTAATATATCACAAATTCTCTCTGCTTTGTATTTCTTTTCCAGGCACACAGATAAAAGACATTGGAATTAATGGCTTCTTAGAAGTCTAAACCAAAAGCCTCTGAAGACTCAGAACTGATTTTTAGGTTGTATTTGATCTCCTTGATCAAACTTCAAAGAAAGGGTACATGAGTATTTCAGTAAAAAGTAAAAAATAAAATAAAACTGAATGTCAACTTTAAAAAAAACATTCACAACTGTCATCCTGAATTTCCCTTGTTTTTCTTAAGAATTTTCAAATTTGACTTTTGAAATTTTCCACTAAATCAACCACTAAAAAGAATTTCAAGCACTTACAGTTTTACTTTATTTTTCCAAATCATTATTTTTTGCCCCTGGTTTAAAATCTTTATCTTCCTAAACTAGAAATCCTAAATTCTAGAAAAATATTTTTAGTTTTAATAAAACACATACCTGGCTGAAACAGAAAGAAGGATCTTTTTACCTGGATCCATGGAAAATAATCAACACCTTTTAGATTCAAATGTAAATTACCAGAAAACCAAAGATACAAATCATCTTAACTTTCCTAAAGCCAGTGTCAGTAGGTATTTCTACTTATGACCAGGATCTCTGTATGCAATATACTTTCCAGGGCCTAGAGAATGAAAGGGCCCACTAGAGTTGCAGCTACTTCCTTGAGAAAAGAAGAAAATCAAATCTAAATTTTAAGTCACCTTTAAATATAGTTATTTAATGTTATATACTATCTTCATGAAATTTGTAAATCTAGATTCAAAAGGAACATATTTTAACAGTAACATGTTTTCGAGAATGTTTCTTATTGTAAATAAAGTCCAATCTATAATTTATTACTTTAGAAGCAAAAAATTTCCACGCTTCTCCATGTAAATATCTCTTAGCCTTAAAACAGAAAACCCTTAAGCATGAAGAGAAAGGGCCAAATTTATTTATTTAATCAACAATATTTACTGTGCACCTACCAAGTACAGGTATTATTCCAGGTGCTGAGGATATAGCAGGGAACAAAACAGACAAGGCCCTGTCCTCATGGAGCTTACATTTTAATGGAGGGAGACAGACAGAAAAGCAAGAAAATATCCAGTGCGCCAGAAATGATAAATGCTATTAAGAAAAGCAAAGCAAAGTGAAGGACAATAGGGATTCCAGGGGCAGGGGTACTGTTTTAAATGTAGTGGCAAGGAGGGTCTCTAGGTAACAAATATGGAAAGATCTAAAGGAAAGGGAATAAACTATGAGGATTTCTGGGGGAAAAGCATTCCAGGCAGAGGAAGCAGTAACTATAAAGGCCCTGAGGCAGGAGCTTCCTAAGTACTTACCTTAAAGAACAGCATGGAGGCCAATGTGGTAGCAGTAGAGTGATTAGTGTGAACTGACAGGAGTGATCTCCTAGACTAGAGAGAGGAATACTGAGGACATGGGAGAGGAGACAACTGATACAACAAAGGGAGTTCAACAGAAAAAGAGGCAGGGAGATGGGTATGTATGCAAGGGAGTGATTATGATGATGACCATGGAATCTATGCTGGGTAAGGAAAGAAGTGAGAATGTACAAGATACATGAAGGACTGAACAAGTGGTTCGATCAATCGATGCAGGTCTTAATGAGGGGATGAATAATTCCTGAAGCTGGGAAATTAGGGGGAGTTGGTAGTAAGCTAGTGGAATTCTTAAAAATCTAGATTGGGAGGAAGGAGGAGTTATTTGTGATTAAAACATCTCTAGGGTACAACCACAGGAGTGGGGGGCTCCACTCCCATGCGGAAAAAAGATCAAAAAGTTAAGAGGCTGGGGTAGTAGAAAGATCATCTACATGGTCACTGATACAACAAAGAATTAGGACACAGTGCTGGAGAGTGTGAGAGTACATCTAAAATCTTCAAAGAAGAGTGGAAGGATGGGGGCACGTGAGGGCGAGGAGAAGTGAAATGCGTGATGACAGATAACAGCAAAAGAAAAAAGATAAGTAGATGGTATGGTTTAATGATACATACTACAAAGCTAGAAATTGTTACAGAGGAGGAAAGATGATCCGGATATGACAGTGAAGAGCCACAGGGACACCTATTCCATCTCTATGCTCAGTAGTAAAAGGGTTTAGGAGAGAAAAGCACAATTTAAGAGTGCTAGGGAAGCAATGACACCAGGGTACAGCCAAGTTTCTGTTAGAGTCAGAAGGTGAAGGCAACATTCTGGAAGAAGTTAAGGTTATGAGAGATTTTAATGATGATAGTAAGTTCTAAAAGTACAGTGGAAAAGTTTTGAGAGTTGGAAAAGATAGGAAAAGCATCAGATTCAGGGATGCAAAGAGCCATATGGGGATGAGAGTTTGGATACTGAGAAATGATCACAGTCCTGGGCTTCTTAGTATAAACTCCTAAAATAAGGATAAAGCACGTGACCAAAAATATAATAAAAAAAATAACAATGTAAGAAGGCACAATATAGTATGAGCTAGAGGTTTACAGGCCAAAAGTCAGTGACTTACTCCTATTTTCTACACACTGTCCAAAGAAATGAAACGAAAAAGGAATACTGGAATACTGCCTACAGTATCTAGCTAGAATATAAAGCAGGCAGACAAAATGGTGAGGTTTTAAAAAGGGAATACAAACTAGTAAAATAACATTAATTTGTTTTGTCAAACCGGTACTCTGGCCCTAATGATGATTTTTAAAAATAGGTACCACTAGATGCATCACGTGACGAATTATTTTCTCCTCAAAAAGCAAATCAAACATTAAGAGATATAGTAGAAGAGGGCTTAAAGAAATAAGAGGAAGCTATTCATATATAAAATAATAAAAAGACTTGGGTCAAGTTAAATTATATTAAAAATAAAAACAAAACCTTTATCTAGTGCCTGGCTTTTGAAGAAATATGGAAAAAATTAAACTAGGCCAATTAAAATATATGCCCATGTTGGCCCATTAGAAAAAAATAACCAGGGGCTTCCCTGATGGTGCAGTGATTGAGAATCCACCTGCCAATGCAGGAGACACGGGTTCGAGCTCTGGTCCGGGAAGATCCCACATGCCACAGAGCAACTAAGCCCGTGCGCCACAACTACTGAGCCTGCACTCTAGAGCCCGTGAGCCACAACTACTGAGCCCACGAGCCACAACTACTGAGCCCATGAGCCACAACTACTGAAGCCCACATGCCTAGAGCCCATGCTCTGCAACAAGAGAAGCCACCGCCATGAGAAGCCTGCGCACCACAACGAAGATTGGCCCCCGCTCACCACAACTAGAGAAAAGCCCGTGCACAGCAATGAAGACCCAACGCAGCCAAAAATAAATAAATAAATAAATTTATTTAAAAAAAAAAAGAAAAAGAAAAAACTAACCAAGAAAAGAAGAAATTCACCAAACATTAAAAGGATTATCAAAACCAACATAATATAAAAGTTATGAAACAGTACACTAAAATACAAACTTTTCATAATTTATTAGATTGCAATATACAGTAAGTAGTATGGGACAATGCGGGGTTGTTTTTGGGTTTTTTTTGCGGTACGCGGGCCTCTCACTGTTGTGGCCTCTCCCGTTGCGGAGCACAGGCTCCGGACACGCAGGCTCAGTGGCCATGGTTCACGGGCCTAGCCGCTCCAGGGCATGTGGGATCTTCCCGGACTGTGGCACAAACCCGTGTCCCCTGCATCAGCAGGCGGACTCTCAACCACTGCGCCACCAGGGAAGCCCGGGACCATGTGTTTTTAAAATTTATACTAGGTGTGTTTGATCCCTAGTCAGAAATCTACCAAATTTTAGACCAGAAAACTAATGCCGTAATTGTGTTTAAATGTTTCACTTTGTGTACTGAAAAAAACCTTTAGAGAAAAATGATGAAAAGAAATAAGAGAAAAATCAAAACAGTAAAATAAAAAAGCTAAAAGATCTAAACCAAATAAAGAAAATCAAACAATTCCCTTCTCTTTGGATACTGTAAAGAAGGGTGAATAGTCCAACAACAAATTAAAAATTACAAGAGATTTTCTTATACATACTTTTGTGTGTTCATACGGAATGTCCACAGAAGGGTGATAACATACTATTGTCCTGCCATCAGATGTCAAAGCAAGCTCTACTTTGCTAAAAAAAAGAATGTTTTAGAAACAGAGTTATACTGTATTCAAGGCAAAATGATTATTAGAGCCAAAATTTGTTAATCACAAATCCCTGAAGAATAAATGCCATCGTGTCACTGGACTGGCAAACCAGGTGCCCATATTACAGGGGACATCTCATACCATCCCACAAAATATGTCAGCTTAACTACCACAACAAACCTTTACTGCATTACCCACTATTTTATCTAAATTATTCTTCAAATTATTTGTTTTGTTAAAGTTACTTGTTTTCTTAACCTTTGGAAGAGATCTTCATGTTCATTCATCACTATTAATAGAACTTCTTTTCCTTATCTAAAAGCTACCTTCAAAAAGCTGTAAGGAGATTACTTAAACTATTAAAGCTGAAGATCAGCAAAATACGTAACCTTCCAGGTAAAGGATCACCTGAATTTCCAATCATAAAGATTGTAGCTGAGCACTTTTTCTAGATCAGCACTTCTCCAAGTGCCTTTGGCATAATGCAAAACACGTCATATAAGACTCAATCTTTTCAGGTTCAAAAGTGCTACCTATTTCCTAGTCTTATTTCATCACTATCCTAATATTTACTAAATTTACAATTAAAACTGGTGTCAGGAGGGAAGAAAATACATTTTTACTAAAATTCACAATAAAAACAATGTAACTTAAGAAAACATGTTGTAGTTTCTGCACATAAGACACTGCTATAGAGATAAAGGACAATATTTCATTCATATGTTATTCCTAGTTCTTAGCATACTGACTAGAATAAGTACCAAATAAATTGTGGTTGAATTAAATATTTGTAATTTAGGATTATTCAATGTTAACAAAAGATAAGATAAATAACTGCTTAAGCTAATACATATGAACCCTAAGAGAAAACCATAAAAAGTATTTAGTTTTTCCAAAAAGCTAAAGAATGCTTCAGGAAGAAAACACAGCATTTCTATCAGCAAGTCTGTCTTACAACAAATGAAGTATTCACTGAGACACAATGATAATGATTTTTATTTAAACCATTTATAAGCCCAGACACTGGGTAAATAAGATCACTGAAATAAATTTTAAAAACAAAATTAAAGGAAGAATAATCAGAAAAGAAAGCAGAAAATACCAAAACAAGAAATAAAATTAAATCATTTCAGATATAGCTAACGAACTTTTTTTTTTCAATTGGATTTCAATACATACCAATTATAGTCATCTGGAAGAGAAGAATACGTAGTTTTATGACAAACACAATATAAGGCTCCATCTGCAAAAACCCCAAACAGTAAGATGGATTTAGTTAATTTGAGCATATGTCCTCACACCAATGTAAAGCCAGTTTTACTCATTCAACCACTATTTACTGTATTCACTATGAAACAGGGCTGTACATGGCGCTAGGGATTCAGCAAGTTAAGATCCAGTCCCTGACCTCAAAAAGGGTGCAAGTCTGGTGAGAGAGAGACAAGTAAACAAACAATTCCAATATAAAGATAAGCCCTGTTAGGAAGGGTAAGCATTGGGAGTGAAAGGGACACATGGACAGATTACAAAACAGGAGTGTACAGGTTCAAGAATGCTTTTCCGGTGGAGATGATGTTTAAGGTGTTCTGAAGGATGATGGAGTAAGCTGGAGTTGTTAGGGGATGAGTACAGTGTTCCTTGCAGAGGGAATAAAAAGTGCCAGGACCAGAGGAAAGAAAGAACATAAAGTTTCTGAGTATTCTAAAAACTTTAGTGTTGGGAATTCCCTGGTGGTCCAGTGGTTAGGACTCAGCACTTTCACTGCTGGGGTCTGGGTTCAATCCCTGCTTGGGGAACTAAGATCCCACAAGCCGCAAGGCTCAGCCAAATAAATAAATAAATAAATAATAAAATTAAAAACTTTAGTGTGACTGGAGTGCATAGTTCATAAAGGGCAAGTGTTTAAGTAATGAAATACAAAATAAACTGTTCAAAATCAACTTTTCTTAATCAAAATGCAACACTTCAAAGCATATTTTCCATTTTTAGAATACCTGTAAATTCAAGAGCCATAACTACTTTTTTTAAAGTTTGTGAAAGGTCCCTCTATGTTCAGAGAAATTATGTTCTTTTAAATATAAAGAAAAAATGTAAATGTAGATCAGTATGGTTAAAAAAAAAATTCTGAATATATCTCGGCTAAAACCAAGGATCAACTTCTCTCAACTGTGCCACTTGCTCCTCAGTATGGAATGCCATCCCCACTTTGTTCAAATACCACTCATCTTTCAAGAGTCAAATGCTACCCTTCCATGAAATCCTTTTCCCCCTTCCTGCCCTACATCCCCCATCACAGAAAGAGTTGTCTATTTTACATGTCCCACAACCAACACTCCATATGACATTGCTATACCATCACTGTCCTTTTTTTTTAATCCATCAGTTATTTATATGTATCAAAGATGTCTAAACAAAGATGTGTTTTCCATCTTTGTAAACTCTCCTTTCCCCAAGGATTGCATATACTTAGAGGTCTAAATATAAATTCTTACTCCAATGCATTAAAAGTACCTTAACAAAATTCATTAGTATCATAAAAGATTACTCAGCAAAATGTCAACCCCAAAATTCTACTGATGTAAAGATAACAAAATACAAAGAATTAGAAATATAACCTCATCTTTCAAAAGATTTATTAATTTTCAATTATCTGTGCTAGTACAGAAGAGCATTTATTAAGACAAATCAGAGGGTAATGTAAAAATCATTTACACATATTTTATTTTCTTGTCTGACACTGTTGGGGATCTTCTTAATTATGTATGGATTAATATTAAAAGCAGTTTGTATTCTCTGAATACACCAGCTAAGTGATGTACATGTTTGCTGAAAGAAACAGGGTTGGGTGGCAGAGGCAGGACAGACAGAATTTACCATTCTTAACTAGGCAGGAGGGAAAACTCAAGACAACAGTATTTAGTTCAACAGGAAACTGCAAAATCTGTACTCTGCACTAACTTAGACATTTGTTTGTACCCTCATGACATACATCACATTCTACCGCATCATATTCCAGGTATTGTTTCCATAGGTGTCTATTTCAACTACAAGTCTAAATAAGTTCCTTAAGGCCAGGAATTCCACCTTGTTCCATTACTCTGTCCCCTATAGTTCCTACTAATAAAGAAGAGATTGTCAAACTGCCTCTAAAATGTTAATTTCTGCATAATTAATACTTAAAAAATGCATCTGACATTTTATCAAGAAAAAAATTCTAGATACAGTTAAGTATCAGAGGTTCTAAATGCATAATTAGAACTGATGCCAAAGTTAACATCAATCAATCCAAATCAACTCAATGTGCTGAATAGAATTTCAATGAGAGTCAGCTCTCCACAACTCACAGGCTTTTCTTGTTTTACATATATATATTTATACACACACACATTTAATTGCATTTTGACATGATCTATAAAAGCTGATAGTCCCACTTCATTTTCAAATGTTGAATATTTTAAATTACAACAACAAAGGCGGTATAGCAGAAAATATATTGGGAAGACATAGGTTTTGATCATAGGTCTAATTTACCAGATATGCAACTTTGGTTGAGCTTCTGAGGGCAAGAGAAGTCAACTCAAGTTCCTTCATCTTCAGAAAGAGAATAATGCCACGTGATAGGTAAGTTATTGTAAAATTCAAAGTTGTAAAGACCAAATGACTTAATATGCTTAAAAGCTGTAAAATTCCTACATTGACTGTAAATTTTGGAAGGTTTTAAATGTTCCTTCTGGAATACAGGGAGGCCTTTTTATTTGTGCTCACTGAACTTTCCAATCACAGTTTTGCTTTGCCTCTAATCTTAATGTCCTTCCTTTTCATATAAAATATCAATAGTAACAGTAATAATACTTTACCTTCAATAGTAATAATAGAAATTGTGTAAAACAAGAGACTTAAGGATGCAAGAAGTTAGGTAGTCACTAATTACTAGGATGACTGAGTGATAATGGAATAATTTTGTGGGGTAACCCAAATTAATTCTTCACTAATCAGATATTTTGACAACTGCGATTCACTAAGATCCATTCAACAAACATTTATTTATCACCTATCATGTATGAGAGGCACTGAGGACACTATAAAATAGACACTGTACAAATCTACAATACAGTTGGTAAAGTATACACAGAGAATTTTAACTTACCCGGGGGCAGATGAACTGGTTTGCAGATTAACCTGAGTGAGGACAAATTGCTGTTTCAGGACGTGAGCTAGGTAAAAACTGATTATGTCTGAGTTCCCATCAGCCTTGGGGCTGAGTTCCTATCAGGGCAAAAGGGAAACTAAGCAACAGAGGTCTCTCTCCCAATTCTCAACAACAACAAAAAATGCTCGTAGGTAATCAAGAGCTGACTACAGTTTTGTTTTCACTATGATTTTAGTGTATACCTACAGTCTCTTGGCAATCTCCTCCTCTGTTTACTTAATTATACTTTCATTTATACAGCTTTTTACCCTAGTCTTCAAACAACTCATTTCCTCTTAATTCAATAAAAATGTTCATTACAAATGGCAGTCAATAGGAAACATGAAGGAAGCAATTAAGGTCAGGCAGAGATGTGTAAAAAAAGTTGGCTGACTAAACATGAAAAAGCAAACCTATTATAGCCTCTAACCAGGTCTTCTTTACAAATGGGATAATGCAGTTCACAGACAGAGGAAAAGTAAAGTGAAAAGAAGGTTGGTCAGGAAATAAGAGTTTAATAGACTATTTATATAGATCAATTTTTGACTATCAAACATGTATTAATAGGCTTTGAAGAAGATATGTGACTACATTTCTTCAGAAAAGGAAGAAATTACATTTTTTTTTTAATTACACAGAAAAAACACAAAAGAACACACCAAAATAGTAACAATAATCACCCTGTAAGATGGAATTGTAAATTTGCCCTTTGCTAATTTTAGGAACTACTAAAAAAAGCAGTATGTGAAAATATAAATATAAGTGATTCAAACTAGAAAAGGTTCCTCTTTATCAATCCCTCCCTTGCCCTCGGTTAAATCCCACTTGTGGTCTACAAAGATAACTTATTTGGTCCACATCTTTTACCCTGCATTTATACATATATAGACACACACATACATGGTCGATCATCTTCTAAATGCACAATGAGATCATACGATATATACTGTTCTATGACATACTTTTCCCCCCTTCTATGCAGAGATCTTTCCAGGTTACACTCCTATACAACAGCAGGCATATACAATAACTAAATTAAATGTTCTTCAATGAACATGTATTACTATAATATTTGAAAAAGTTTAAAACTTTTTAAACATTGGACTTCCCTGGTGGTCCCGTGGATAAGACTCCACGCTCCCAATGCAGGACGCCGGAGTTCAATCCTTGGTCAGGGAACTTGATCCTGCATGCATGCCAAAACGAAGATCTGGCACAGCCAAAATAAATTAATAAATATATTTTTTAAAAAAACACTTCTTTTTTTTTTTTTTTTTGCGGTACGGGGGCCTCTCACTGTTGTGGCCCCTCCCCCTGCGGAGCACAGGCTCCGGAGGCGCAGGGCTCCGCGGCATGTGGGATCTTCCCAGACCTGGGCACGAACCTGTGTCCCCTGCATCGGCAGGCGGACTCTCAACCACTGCGCCACCAGGGAAGCCCTAAAAAAAAACACTTTTTAAACATTAAAAAACTCACTTACTTTGAATTGGAAATAAATGTTTCAAGATAGTTCTGCTTGATATAGCCCATTTTACTGCTGCCAACGCCATGGTGAATCAAGATGCTTATCAGGTGGTATGAAAGATGATCTGAAGAGAAACTGCTTTTAAAATCTGCTTCTAAAAAAAAAAAATTGCTTCTAGGTATACCTATTTCCACCCCTGCATAAGAGAGAAAGAAAAATCAGTGCTACCTATGATAAATTAAAGTGACACAATACACTGAACACTACAAAACAGGATCACTACTGAGAACTACAGTTGCCTAACACAAAACTTTTAAACAATTTTCCATTTCCAGGCAATACAGTATAAAAAGCAACATCATCAAAATGTATAGTAAGATCAGAAACCCAAGAACTATGTCCATTACTATTTATCTTAAATGCAAACTTCTCAACACCTAGTGTAGTTCTTTCCATTCAATGAGTGCTCAGCCAATGTGTAATTACTCTTAGAAACAGTCACTCACACATGCTACACAGAGCATTCTCCTTTCATAAAGCAAATGCGTCGGTGTACAACCTCCCAGGTACCATACACAAGATTTTATTACATCTCTTAAAGGGGTATTCTGTTTCTGATTAAATGAAATATTAAACAAGAAGGCCTAGCCTTGGCTTATTAAATACTGACTTGGAGAAACACATATAAACACCCAAAGTCCCAAATAAAATTTCACCCTCTTATATAAGCTTTTTAACTTTCCAAGGTGCTTCCACTACCATTCATTTTACTCTCATCCTAATCATAAGAGCATCTTTATTTTGATTCATGAAGAAACTAAGGTACAAAATTTAAATAAATTGCTTCCAAGAACTTCAGAGTCAATCCCTTACAAACTGAAAAAGTTTGGGGAGGTCATTAACGAAGCAACCCTCAGTTCCTTCCACGGTAAAATGGGGGGAAACAACCACAAGCTCCAGGTCTGTTGTGAATAAATGACATACATTACTTGTTTTCAATTGGCCTCGATGACTATTCCCCTCCCACCACCACCCGCACAGTGATAAAAGCTTATTTCATCAGTCTTAGTCGTTGAACTACGCAGGCTGATTCCTTGCACTGTCGGTACATTAGCACTGCCATCCCTGAGTACCTACAGTGTGCCTCCTACACTTTACGACCCATTTTCCTATACATTATATGCTCCTTCACAAGTCTGTGAAGTAGGCGTCTCCATTTAAAAAACTAAGAAGCGAGGCTCCGAAAGCTCAAACGGTTTACCTGCCACTTTACTGCTGCTTAATAGGTACTATGGGTGTAACGCAAGCCCACAGCTTCTGACCACGAAATGAGAAACAAAACACTTTAGGGGACGTTAGGTCCCCTCTGTCCGAAACCCAGAGGTCACATTATTCACCCCAGAGACAGAATTCAGAAGGTAAACCCCTTGGCCCGGAATTCAACGCTGGAGCAATAGAGAATTGCGGAGAGTCTGGGAGGGCCTGAGGCTTGAGGTACAGGCTACCAGAACCAGACCCCACGGTAAGCGCGCGGCCACACGCCGGCCCTTCTGCAGGACGGACCGAGTCTGGTAATGCCAGAGGCTTTATCTTGCCGCAAACGACAGGTAGGAGACCTCGACAGCTGCCTATAAACTTTCTGGGCCTGCCCAGCTCTTAGGGACTCCTAGACGGGAGAAGGAGAGGGAAATGGTTACCTTGACTGCCACTCACCGCGAGCCCGCCATCTTACCTGAACCCGGGTCCTAAGAGACACCGCTCCACGCGCCTTCCTGGCTCGCGGGGCACTCTGGGAAATGTAGTCTCAGCGGGAAAGAGCCCCGGGTGCCGTGGGTAAGGCGGGGATCCACCCAACGAGCGCCCGCGTTTAGTTCCAGCACTTTGCCTGCAGCCTTACCGGCGCTACCCAAAAAAACAAATTCACTGACCCCACACATATCCTTAGAAAGTAACGAACACTATTTTTTAAAGTTTATACTAATAATTAGAGCAACTTGAGATCCCTCCTTGGATGAGTTAGGTTTCCCAGGGGAAGAGGCATTTCAGAGAAGTACTGAAGCGGGGTGGGGTTGGATTTGACGTTTGAAATGGAGAAGCATGGGACAGCCTTCAACCTATGTTCTGAGAACTGTGCTAACCAGCACGGTTATTCATTATAGGAGGAGGACGTGCAGGATCCTGGATCTCGCCATATATCTTGGAAGAAAAGGCCCCTGGGCCTGTGCACTTTCTGTTCTCATTGCCAGCAATGGTCTTCTCTCACTGCTTCTCATGACCACTGACTTAGTTTATACAGCTCTTGCTCAAATATCATTTCAGAGAGGACCACATCATTAAAATAGCTTCACCCGCCCTTGCCCCATTGCCCTCCTTTATTTTTTTCATAACATTTACCATTATATGACATTATATTTTCATTTGTTTCCTTCTTTAATGTCTGTCTCTTATGCCAGAATTCAAGATCCATGAAGGCCAAGAGGGACAGGTATGTTCTATACGGTATACAAATCTAATATCTAGAACTGTGCTTGGCCTCATCGTAGGCCTCCAATATTTGTTGAATGAATAAAACAATTAAATAACACTGCATGTATTCAAGATAGTAGGTGATTGACTGATAAAGCCTAGTTTCACCTGGGAATTCCTTTCCTCCATGATCTGCAAAATTTCGGATTTATGTACATTTTTCTGAAAAGGATTCATAGCTTTTAACATGTAATCAAGAGGGTTAATCAACCTCTCAAAAATTTAAGGGCCATAGTCCTGAAGTAGTCCTTAATATCGAAAATAAGTGAATATAAGTTCACTTACATTCACAGCATAAATGTGGACTGCTGTGATGTCTCTTTTCACTTCCCACAGAATATCAGGCTGGTTCTGCTGCTTATCTTTGCTCCTATGGAAGCTCACATTGAGGACCCATCTCTGTCCTTTCGAATCTTGTCCATCCTTCAAAGCCACCCCATAGTCTTTCTGGACTATGCTGTAGGAAGGGACAGAGAGAAGAAACATATTTGAATGAACTATCAACTGGACTTGTCAAACATTCACTTCTGCAAAGCAGAAGAGGGACGGATCAAAGATGATTCCACAGGACATGTCTTGATGGCTGTGAGTAGAGTGGGGACCACTGACCAACTGGGAGACTCAGTGCAGCCAGGAAAGGTTCACAAAGCTGAGACCAGGAAAGAAACCAGCCATGTGCATGCGAAAGAGAGCAGAGACAGCTCTAGGCTGAGGGAACAATTTAAAAGTCTAAAAGGGGGTGGAAACAGCTTATCATATGCTGGAGTATGGTGTGGAGGAGAGCAGCAGGAGATGGGGTAAGGGGCAGGTCACGTTGGGCTTTATAGGCCTTGGTGGTAATAGCATGGAATTAGGACACAGATTCATTTGTGTAGATGTTATTTTAATACAGTAGGGCAGGGCTTCCCTGGTGGCGCAGTGGTTGAGAGTCCGCCTGCCAATGCA